CTCCATTATCTGTACAAAGACATTTTAGCTTTAAACCTGTCTCCCTTTCCACCGTAGCATGGTAATGCTAGAAATACTTGAAAACTTGGCTTTTATTCTGCAACAAGTATACCCAAGTTTTTCGAGTTTCATCATCAATACGGTAACAAAATGTTTATTGCCACCAATCGACTTTGCCTCCAGGGGACCACAAACGTTAGAGTAGACCAAGTCTAGCTTGTTCTCCTTCCGAGTCAAATTCTTTTGAAAAGAAACTCTGTGTTGCTTTCCAAATAGGCAAACATCACAAGTATTCACATTTTCACTTTTGGCCATAGGAATAAGGGATTGCTTAGCCAAAAGTTGCAATCCTTTCTCCCTCATGTGAGCTAATCTATTATGCCATAAATTTGGAGAAGCCTCATCTTCAACTGTGTTCAGTTAACCTCCACACATTTTTATGTGTGTCTTGTCTAATGAGCAACATGCTCTTCCTTTTGCCACCACCATTAATCCTTTGGTGAGTTTCCAATTGCCATTCTCGAAGTAGTGTGTGTATCCTTCTTCATCCAGTGCTTTTGCAAACAACAGATTCATATGCATATCAGGAACATGTTGCACATTTTTTAGTGTCAATGTACATCCAACATTTGTCTAGACACAAATATCATCAATTCCCATAGTATGAGAAACACTATTGTTTCCCATTTTTATGGTGCCAAAGTCTCTTGCTTTGTATGTTGAAAAATATTCCCTTTTGGGAACACAATGATAAAAGGCGCTAGAATCAATTATCCACTCGACATTTGAGTTTTCTATGTGGCAGCACTCCCCACGATCACATAGTAGAGTCACGTTATCGCCACTGGTAGATGCTACAGCGGTAATATTGCTATCTTCAACCTTTTTCTTGTCTTTTCCTTTCAACAAGTTGTAGTTCCATTTCATGTGGCCTGGTTGACCACAATGTTAACACTTCACTCTACTTTTGGACTTTGATTTGGATCTGCCTCCTCGTCCTCTGGGTTCTTTGGTCTTACTCTTGTCCCTATTCTCTGTGACTAGAGCTTAAGTATCTGACTATGAGAAGATTCTAGTGCCCGCATCCTTTTTTCTTTTTCAAAGATTCTGTTTTTGGTGATTTCTAGTGTGACTTTACCACCAGGAGATGAATTGATCATTGTTGATCTAAAACTCTCCCATGATTTCGGCAAGGTGTTGAGAAGAATCAGACCATTCACCTCATCATCAAATTCTATGCCCAAATTGGCTAACTCCTTGATGATGCCAAGGAAATCATTAACATGGTTTGCTGTGGGAGTTCCATCTTTGTACCTTGAGTACATCAATTGCTTTATATGACGCAATTTATTCTATCCAATCTTCGCCTGGAAAAGCTCGTCTAGCTTTGTCCATAGTGTGCGTGCATTAGTTTCATCATTGATATGATTTAGTACATTATCATCAATCCATTGTTGGATAAATCCACACAATCGTTTATGGAGTAGCCTCCATTCTTCATCCTTTATGCTGTTTGGCTTTTGCTCTGAAAAGACAAGCTCATGAAATTCCTTCACATAAAGAAGGTCCTCCATTTTTCCTTTCCACAGCTGATAGTTTGAACTATTTAGTGTGATCATTTTGCTCTGATTCAACTCCATTGTTCACGTGAATATTAGCACCGCCTAGCTCTGATACCAGTTGTTGGGAAAAATGGCGCGAAGGAATAAACTAATTCCTGTGAACAAAACACGTGAACAATAACAAAGAATGGTGAAACAAGCAGCTTAGCCGATCAATGTTAACGGTTAGTGAAAAAGGCGGCGTAGCCAGCTAAGTAAACTAAATTGGGCAGTTTAACCAGCCACTTAAAAGGAAAAATAAATAATAAGACAACACTAAATTTTACGTGGAAAAAATCCCAAAAAACTATTAAGGGAAAAAACCATGGGACAAACTCCGAAGGGTATTCCACTATGTGATAATATTGTATGGAGTATACACTCAAGTATTTTTTCTCTCTTGGTGTTTCCTACTCCCCCTAGGATATGATCACAGTCTTGATAAACTCATAATTTTATCACTCAATGCACTCTCTCTATGGAGCACACTCACACCTAAGCTTGATTCCTAGCTCTCAATCCCTTTTTTCTTTCCACCCGAGCTCTCACTTTGCTCACTTGGTGCTGCACTCTTGCTTCTTACTTCTTACTTGTTGCCTTTGCATGCATGGGTATTTATAAGGAAAGAAGCCAACCACCCATGCATGAATTTCTTTGCCTATTAAATGAGCAAGCTTGTAATGGTTGAATTTACCATGCAAACATTCAACAAGAGCTGCTATAGGTG